CACTAATCCCGTCGTCATCTGAATTGTGGCCAAATTTTCGGTTAATTAACGCTTTAGTCTCGTCGGCGGTCCACCGGTGCCCGGAATCGGCGGTCAAATATTCGACAAACGATTGGTCCGTCTGTTCGATAACAATACTGACCTCAAAAAGTGTTGGTAAAAGGTATTCACTTTTTGCGGAGGAGAGGGAGAACTCGATGTCGTTGACACCTAATCGACAGTATTGGCTCACGTCGTACGGCCGACACCACACCTGACCTCCAGCCGAGTGAGTGTAGACGCGAATGTGGTTCACATCAATACACAGGGCTTCGGGAACGGAGTCTTTTGCCGCCGGTTCGGCCGTATGACTGAACCGCAGCTGAATTTGCATCTGATTTTTGGCCAAAATCTCCGTCAGATTCCAGTATATGTCGGGAAAGTAGTCCTCATAGAGTGTGAACGACTTGAGTAGTTTGCGATCCGATATAGAGGTCAACACTTGCGGTTCGTATAACTGCTTTACGATCGTATACTTCGGTAAACGCCTGAACGCGCAGTCAGTGACCACTTCTTGGCCGCTATTGTCCCACAAATTGGTGTCAAATATATTGGGGATCGGCAACAACGGCGGCGGACCAGTGATACGGCCAGTGGGTGTCGATATCACCGAGTGATTCCCACTATGCGGTGCGTTCGGCCTCATATTGGGGATCGGCAACAGCGGCGGCGGACACACAATGATAGGGTCAGTGGGCGTCAATATCACCAAACGATTCCCACTACGCGCTGCGTTCGGCCGCTTCGGCTGTCCATTAGTGTGCCCTAAAAAAGCGATTCAAACAACGGGTTAACACCTAATGGACGGATCAATTGTTTGGGTGATTGCGTTCAAACCATTGGCCTCCGATGACCTCCGCTTCTTCGTTAACGGCCGCCTGACTTTGCGTTCGTGTATATCATTGACCACAAGTGACAGGCGGTCGACATCGACGTCGCGCCCGTCGATCAGCTGTTGCACCCGTGACAACACTGCCGCCCTATTCTTCCCAAACTCCGTCCGCTGGAACTGCTTTAAGACCTCTTTTAGCTCACATTTAGTGAAGTCGTCAATCAACTGATGGAGTCGTTGATAGGCGGACCACAAGGCGGCGGGCGTTGTGGTGGTGGCGGCGGATCCGGCGGTGATGGTGGCCGTCGGTGTCTGTGGCAGCGGTGGTGTCGTTGTGTCGGTCATTGGCTGCTGTGGTATGACTATCAGTACTGTTGGGAACCGTTCGCTCCGTTGACTCAAACCCCCCGAAGACTGGATCCGATGGCAGTGTCCGACGGGTTTGTCGTCAAAGACTATGTGTTTTGATTTCACGTGTTTTTTATGAATGACTCAAACTTTGTGTCTCTCAAAGGCTGACGAGTCAAAGCTCTGACGCAATTGTCGAACCATTCATAAACAGCGTTACGCATAAATGTATTGTTTATATGGAAATGTATTGCAAATATTATATACGCCTCCACTGTTCATAGATAACGTGACGTGAATGTAAGGTAAGTTTAATTTGCATTCATTTAATTGCAGTTAATATTTAATAAAATTTAAGTTTATTAAAATAAATGCTCTGAATATTAGTAACAAAAAACATTATGCACGATAATTAGTAATTATTAATTACTAATTAGTTTGCTTAAATAATCAACAGTTTACACTAATTTTAAAATTGGTTAAAATTACGAAAATTACTAAACATTTGTTAATTATATAATGAATTTATAGTAATTTACAGTTAATTTATATCCACAAAAGATTTACTCAATTTATGTGATTGTAATGTATTTTTCATGCAAAACAATACAATCGTTGTCATCATTATTACCACTGCTGGCCATTATATCGTTGTTCAACAATTGAATCACTTGTCCGTCAAAACGATCGCCGATTACGTAATTGCCGTCACTTTTCACGCGAATAGTCGTCACAGACTCTGAGGTTTCGGCCAAAACAGTCTTAAAATAGGTGTCCACTCGGATGTGAGACGTGTCGGCCGGCGCCTGACATATGGGGCACAACCACTCCGATCGCCATTCGTTGACCGCGAATACTGACTGACCGTCGAAGCACTCGATGTGCTCACACTTGACTGTCCGGCACGGGATCCGCAATCGGCGTTGACTAACCTTTTCAATAAAAATCATGTAAAAAACATTTTTAGACTTCAGCCCATAAATACCGGACACATTAGTGACACTTGTATCCAGTCATCCAATAGGCTTATTCCGTCGTCACCCGAATTGTGGACAAATTTTCGGCGAATCAATGCTTTAGTCTCATCGGCGGTGAAGCGATGCCCGGAATCGGCGGTCAAATATTCAACAAACGATTGGTCCGTCAGTTCCTTAACAATTCTGATCTCAAAAAGTGTCGGCAAAAGGTGTTCATTGCCATCAGAGGAGAGGGAGAACTGGATGTCGTTGAGACCCAATCGACACCATTGACTCACGGCTTTGTCTTTGGCCGCCTGTTCAGCCGTACGACTGATCCGCAGCTGTATTTGCATCCGATTTTTGGCCAAAATCTCCGTCAGATTCGAGTATATGTCGGGAAAGTAGTGCTTATAGAGTGTGAAATACTTGCGGATCCCGCGATCCGATACAGAGGTCAACACTTGAGGTTCGCGTAACAGCTTTACGATCGTATACTTCGGTAAACGTCTGAACGCGCAGTCAGTGACCACTTCTTGGCCGCTATTGTCCCACAAATTCATGTTAAATGAATCGGCGATCGGCGGACAGACAATTATAGGGACAGTTGGCGTCAATATCGCCGAGTGATGTTCACTATGTGGTGCGTTTGGCCGCTTCGGCTGTCCATAAGTGTGCCCTAAAAAAGCGATTCAAACAATGGGTTAACCGAATGGACGGATCAATTGTTTTGGGTGTTTGCGTCCAAACCATTGTCTGATGACCTCTTAGCCGATGACCGCCGCCTGACTTTGCGTTCGTGTATATCATTGACCACAAGTGACAGGCGGTCGACATTAATGTTGCGCCAATAGATCAGCTGTCGAACCTGTAGCAACATTTGCGCCCTATTCTTCCCGAGCGCCCACCGGAACTCCATTAAGACCTCTTTGAGCTCGCGTTTAGTGAAGTCATCGATCAGCTGAAGAAGTCGTTGACACGTGTCGGCCGCGGCGGACGCGGTGGTGATGGCGGGGGCCGTCGGTGTCTGTTCTGGTGTTCTGGTGTTCTGGTGTCTGTCATTGGCTGCTGTGGTGTGACTGTCCGGTACTGTTAGGAACCGTTGGCACCGTTGACTTACACGCCCTGAAGACTGGATCCGATGGTAGCGTCCGACGGGTTTGTTGTGTCAAAAGACAATGTGTTTTGATTTCAAGTGTTTTTTTATGAATGACTCAAACTTTGTGTATATTGCGAACCATTCATAGACAACGTTACGCACAAATTATTTGCAAATACAGTATAATTGTTGTATAGAAATGTACTGCAAATACACGCCCCCACTGGTCACAGATAACGTGACGAGAATGTAAGGTGGGTGTAATTTTTATTAATTTAATTGTAGTTAAAACTCGATTAATTAATTTTAATTCAAAATATTTATTAACTCTAACTTTTGTAAAGATTATAATTAATTACAACAAAAAATAAAATCACATTTAAATAGGATTACAATTTCATAAAAATCAAAACTACAACTAATAAAACGAGATTAAGGAGTAAATTACAACTTAGAGGCCATTATCTCATCGATGGTCAGAGCGTAGGGCGGGTGCTGTCCAGTATTGACGGGTGCGATGTGTCCGCAGGGCATCGGACAGTCGGCGTCGACCACTACCTCGCAGTCGACGCCCCGGAGCTCCAGACGGTTTAGGCGACCACTTTTGGCCCGTATTTCCCCTAAACTCTTGGCGTAACTCTTTACTGGTTTTGTAGCAAACAGATCCACGGAATCGGGATAATAGTCATCACCCGGCAGTGTAGAGATGGCGCCGTCCGTATACATGGCCAGCGATGGCAGCCATCGTTGACTGCCCTCCCTCTGCCTCAAGCGGGCAAACTCTTCCACCTCTTTGACGGCCGCGAAGTTCACGAGTCGCGAGAGTTCGTAGATCTGCGGCGGCGACAAAGTATAGCCATCCCTACCGTCCGGCGCTGCTGTCGAGTATCGGTTGGCCAACAGAGCGGCCGGTGCTGACCAGTGTTGGTGATGATCAGCAGCGATGGTGGGTGTGGTGATCGGTGCGGGTGTGTCAACAGCGCACAAGTAGTACATAGTGTCGAATCTGGGACTCCGGCCAACGCTGGTCGGTGTCAACCAATTCCACCACTCGTGAAGTGACCACAACCTGGGCTTCAGCTCATATCGCGAGCACATGTCGACGAATTGATCCGGTCGTTGACAGACCCGTTCGCGCCATTCACTCATCACATCTATTGTTAGCTGACGCTTCGCTCCAGACATTAACTCCACCAGAAGAATGCCTGCGATGTGACAATCATTACATTAATCACTGGAACCGATGTCTTAATAGCAATGATTACCTGTTTGTTGAAAGACATTTCTAATGGCACAGAGTCTTAGAGCCATATCAGTGGTCACAAAGTCATCCTCAGTGTCCGAAGAGCTACGTCTGAGATCTTCGAGGAATAGGTTGTCGGTGACGATCGGCGGTCGAGGGGCCGACGGCTCCGGTGATAGTGATAATAGAGTACTGTATTGAACCCCCTGTTTGTCAAACAGTGACCACCATTTGGGTGAAAAGTCTGCGGCGTGTAGTGACCCGCCCGGCAGTACTAGACTGCGGGACCCGAGTGTACGGTTCGGGTCGCCCCGTATGGTCAGCACTTGATAATCGCAATGCGATGACGGATCAGTTGCCTGTGATGTCGATGGTGTCAGTAGTAAGACGTTTGCCGACTCTTTCCAGTGGTTTTTCATCATATTTTTGCGCACTTTTTACTATTGATTACAACTTTTGGTTATAATTAAGTTTTTAAACACAATTTAATGTAAATTAATGTTAATTTCAAGTATTTTAATACAAAATCTGTTATTTTTGGTCAAAGTTTTGTATAAAACTTCACTTTAATGTGAAGTAAAAGTTTTTTGGTCGACAAAACAGTGTATAAAAATTTTGCTACTTTTTTAGCCCATTTTTTGAGTAAACTTTTTTTCATTTCTTGTTTTATGTTTTTTTGCCCAAAAATTGTACACAAAATTAATTAATTATTTGTATAATAAATGAAAATTATAATAATGAACTAGATTTACTTTTTGCATTTATGTATTTATATTAATTAGCACTAAATATAGTAAAAAAAACACCACAAAATATAAATTTCAAAATAAAATTGCACTATTTTTAACCATTTAATTAAAACTTTTAATTATGTGCACACATTATATATACAGGTATTACAAAATTGATAACAATGTTCATTTTCAACACATATTAGTGGCAAATAGTTTATAAAATTAACTTTTTTTTTGTTGTATTTTTAGTGAATAAATATTTTACAAAACTAAATACTGTTTTGTTTTACTTGTAATTTATCCCAAATATTGTTTCATAACATACGGGTAAATTTGTGCTCACTATTGTTTATGATCATAACAATAGTTACTTAAAAGTAAAAGCTTTTTAGTTATCAAATAATTAATAATTATTAAATTCCCAAAACTAAACGTTATATTATACACGCTAATTAACATGTTGCATAATTCATCGTACAGTATTTTATTATGTTAAACCTATTATTTGTATTTCACGTATAAAATTTGGGATTTTTCAGCATGTTTTCTAAATTGTATAGCTAAATATTGTTAAATAATAAATTATTCTGATTATCCAATGAAATAAATTGGCAAATTTATATTTTATTGATCAAGTTTTATTTATTAATCATTAAGTAAAATAATTAATGACATATTATTTATAGTAAAATCAATTTTAACTCTATTCACAAATTATTATAAACATGGTTATTCTTTAGTAAACCAAATGTTTTACTTTTAAATAAATATAATAATGAATAAATATTCTTACCTTCAGTTAGTATCCAATTTGTTTGTTAAGTAAACATAATATTCAATAATTTACAAATAAATTAATTGTTTTGAAGTGTATTTATTAAGGATATGCAAATATAACAACAAATTAAAACACATGTAGCAATTTACAAATCATGTACAATACAACAAACACATGTTATTATATACGAACAATTTTAATTAAGATGATTTTGCACAATAATACAAATAAATATTAATTTATTTATAAAATAAAATATAATACAATTAATATGACGAAAACTTAAAACATCGATGACTATTTAAAAACTAAAACCATATCACACTAATATAACCATATTTTAGACACAAACACATTTTTATACCGTATATAATAAAGTAATAAAAATAAATTAAAACTTTATTATATAAGACAATGCACTATAAGATTAGACACGAAAAAATATACCAACATTTTCCTCAACTAAAATATATAGTTTTAATTCACAATAACATTAGAAACACACGAATAGTGTACACAAAAAAGTCACATTATTTTGTGACCCATTTCTCAAACGTGTACTGAAAATATATAGTGAATACTGTTTACTATGAAGTGATTTATTTTTGTAACAAAACTGTTAACTACTATTGTGTTGATAGACAGCACACATGTATAGTAGACTCAAACCCGATCTGTAGGTTATCTATAAATACTATAAAACTTTTATATGATTTTTATTGTATTTTTATATTGTCTGTTATCGCAGGGGGTAATCAGGTGGGTGTCTACCCGGCCCTCACTGTCCATCAGACTACTATTAATAGGTATACTACCCATCGATACCGCCCTTAAACTCAGTAAACATTAATTAAAATTTTTTATTAAAACTTTTTAAAAAGTTTATATTTTACAACTAAAATGATTTGCCAATAATGATGGTTATATTGAGAACATTTTTTAGTAACAAACTTATCATTAAGTCTAGCGATGGATATCAAGCACTTATATAATAGTTATCATCATAAAAAGTGTAGTTTTTATATACAGATTAGCCTTCAATTCAGTTGTCTGTCTGTAATATCGTTGAGTGAAATGTTTTATTTGTTATTTGCTTTGTTTTGTTTCTTCTTATAGTGAACTAAATCTCCCAAAAGTGTACACAAAAAATAATTTTTATTGCCAACAATTCATATACTATATAAGTTTTTATAACTATTTAAAAGCATTGTTTTTAATTTGAAAGCACATGAGAAGAAGGGGATGTCTACTATTAATCGGCAACTAATAATTACCAAGTTTATAAATAGGTAGTACACAACTAGGTATTAAATTGGATTTTTAATATTAGCATTTTTATTGATGATCATATTTAAATCTAAATTTAAAACAGATTTAATAGGCATTAGATCGCACCAAACCCTCCCTTTCCCACACGCTGTCAACATATGAGTTATTCACTGACATTACTGTGCCGTTCATTATATAAATTTATATTATTTTAATTGAATTATGCTTTTATTTTTATTTTACATTTATTTGTAAAAATGGATAATAAAATGCATTGTTTGTGAGGAATCTTATATTTAATTCATTTAATGCATTGTATTATTTAATAGGTTTTGATTGACATTTGAATTGCCATTGAAATTCAGATTACATGACTGATTGTATTGAGAAGTAGTCCTTTATTATTTCATTACACAAGGTATTTGTTAAATATAAATTTACCCCGTTATATGCACACAATAGGAAAATTGCTAACAATCATGCTAAATACCATATTTAAAGTACCACAATTCTGCCTCAATACCAAACATAGGTATTTTATATACACAAACTTAATTAAAATTAAATATGTTAATTACAAATAAATTTATATAATTATAATTAAATTTAGAACTTTTCATGTTAAATATAGTAGTTAAATTAAATTACTAAATTAAGTTTATAATATTTGTTATTTGCTGTGAATTAATTTTAACCATTGATACAAAAATTACAATAATGTTATTCACCAAAACTACCGGTGCTTTCATTTTTACATTTAATATATTTTTCACAGTTGTAAATTTTATTTATTTATTTTTATTTAAGAATTATTTAATTTATTATAAATTTTTGAAATTCATTGCTTGTAAAAAGATGTCTGTTTTTGTGCTGAAATGCATGACATTATATAATATAAACAACAAAACATTTATATTAGATATTGACAGGAAAATAATAGTTTAGTACAGTTGAACATCATTAATGGTAAACCTAAACAACAGTTAAAACCCGTTATTAGTCATTATTCGTCACGTGACTCTCTCTTATATATTTTCGCGCCAATACTTTATTCAATTATGCTGACACCATCCATATACTCTATTATAATCACATTTATATTGTAAATACACCTAAATATACTCATACATTACCGTATAATATCGGTAATCTGACCAGAATCGGTAATCCCGAGGACGGACGGACACTTATCATATACCATTTTAATCACATTTACATACCGCATATACCGTATAAATATCACGGTCCCGTTATAAGCCGTTTACGAGTTATCGTGTAATACGTGTACCGAGGGTCGGGAAAGTGACCGTAGTGGACAAACGCCACATACAATCTGGACGAGTAATACATCATTCGAAAGCCCATTCAAGCCACTAAAGAATATCCAAAAATGAAGGAACTACATAACGTAGATTTCCAACAATAAGCACCCGAATATACTCACATGCATTCTTATATATTTTCGCGCCAATACTTTATTCAATTATGCTGACACCATCCATATACTCTATTATAATCACATTTATATTGTAATCATTCATAAATATACCTATACTTTACCGTATAATATCGGTAATCTGACCAGAATCGGTAATCCCGAGGACGGACGGACACTTATCATATACTATTATAATCATATTATCATACCGCATATACCATGTAAATATCACGGTCCCGTTACAAGTCGTTTACGAGTTATCGTGTAATACGTGTACCGAGGGTCGGGAAAGTGACCGTAGGGGACAAACGCCTCATACAATCTGGACGAGTAATACATCATTCGAAAGCCCATTCAAGCCACTAAAGAATATCCAAAAATGAAGGAACTACATAACGTAGATTTCCAACAATAAGCACCCGAATATACTCACATGCATTCCTATGGAAGTTCGGGAACTTTCGGCCATCACGGCCAAACGCCACATACGATCTTGGCAATTGATACATCTTTGGAAAGCCCTTTATAAACATCATACAATATCACAAAATGAAGGAATACATGCATTCCTATGGAAGTTCGGGAACTTTCGGCCATCACGGCCAAACGCCACATACGATCTTGGCAATTGATACATCTTTGGAAAGCCCTTTATAAACATCATACAATATCACAAAATGAAGGAACTACATAACATGGTTCATCCACAAATTACGTTTATGTTCACAATTACCAGCTATTTCTTAACATAGCTATACTTTATCATTATATAAACACATAATCTCTATTCAATGTAAAAGTGCTGCTAAGCACTTATTGTGTCACTATTTGGCAAAAGCGAGAGAGGAGAGTGAGTCACCCCTATGCATCAGCAAATATTAGACGCATTCACTGCAGTATGCATTCTTTATGCCCATATTTGGGCATAAGAGTAGTTCAGCCAATCAGAGCTGCTTATTGATTAAATGCACCAACACTGCAATCCTAAGACCGACTCAGAGAGAGAGAATGAGACCATCATGAGTCCTCAGCTCTCAGTACCTTTTGATGGTCTGATCCAAAACTACAAATAGACCAACTTATGCCGCTCTCGACACACTTACAGTACTGGACACCAAACTAATCACTAGCTCTTAAAAACCTTTTAACTTGTGTTAGCTTATCAATGAGATTCGTTGATATTCTCTTTGAGAATTGAAACTGAGTTCTCTCTAAAAACTTCTATCAGTTTTTAGATAAGTAGTCATAAAATAATATAATGTTAGTAATATTTCGTTAGCTCTAACGCTAAACTTGATATTAGTAATATTGTGTTCTATTCAATGTAAAAGTGCTGCTAAGCACTTATTGTGTCACTATTTGGCAAAAGCGAGAGAGGAGAGTGAGTCACCCCTATGCATCATAAATATTAGACGCACTCACTGCAGTATGCATTCTCTATGCCCATATGTGGGCATAAGAGTAGTTCAGCCAATCAGAGCTGCTTATTTATTAAATGCACCAACACTGCAATCCTAAGACCGACTCAGAGAGAGAGAATGAGACAATCATGAGTTCTCAGCGCTCAGAACCTTTTTATGGTCTGATCGATAGCATAAAAGGAGCGACTGATGCCGCTCTCGATATACTTACAGTACTGGACACCAAACTGATCACTAGCTCTTAAAAACCTTTTAGCTTGTGTTAGCTTATCAATGAGATTCGTTGAAGTTCTCTATGGGAATGAATACTGAGTTCTCTCTAAAAACTACTACCAGTTTTTAGATAAGTAGTCATAAAGTAATATAATATTACATTCTCTATGAAAGTAATGTTGTGTTAGTTTGTGAATTGAGTTTCTAGACTTGTCGAGTTTTACATCATATCTCCAAAAATCATCACTCGTTTGAAACATCTAATTGTATGTATTTATATGTCTTGTCTTATTTCAATAAAACTGTTTTGTCTATTAACTGCCTAATCTTATTCCAAATATAAGTTACCTTTAGTTTATGTTTATTTAGTTATGATAGTTTAATTTACAGTTTAGTTTCAGTTGAGATCACAGTTTATGTTTCAATGTCCATAGACTGGTGATAGGATTTGAATTCAGTTTATGTTTAAAGTATAGTTTATGGGAGACATTGATGGAGGCACCAAAGCGCAAAGTTTAATTAATAAAAAGTCATCAAGTCACTTTTTATACGTGACAATATATTCAAAATAGTTTCATGTGTTGTTTGAATTTATTGTTAAATTAAACTTCTAAACAATTATTTGATGTAAAATTTTTAAATATTTTATGAATAAATAGGTTATTAACAGATTTAAATGTGTCATGATGCGTTAATATAAACAATGTTTTACTAAAAATTTGTATTGACTTTCAAATCGTTGAACAAATTTTCGGTTTCATTCAAATGAAAGTGAAACTCAAATATTTTTCACAAGCAATAAAAATAGTTTTATGTTTACTGTTATAGTAAATGTGATTCAATTTTTACTATCGTTTGCATACTTTCTCCAACTATTAAATGCTTTTATTCAATAAAATTCCTAAAATTATTTAATTATTTGTTTGCAAATAATAGTAATTAAAAGCGAACCGATTATAATAATAATATGTTCAAAGTCTCATCAATCGTATAGTTTAAGAAATAAAAACTATTAGAAATTTAGCCGAAAATTGCATCCTTTCATTAATTCTTACATAATATTTAATTCAAATTTGAATCGTTTTAAATAATATAATTTATATAAATCAGCAATAAATTGATTGATTGCTTGAAAACCTTTTATATGGATTATATTATTGATAGATGTTTTATTATGAGATAATTTAAACTTCAAACTCAAATCATAGCCAGTTTAACCAGACATGCAAACTTACAAGAGCTTACAAGAGGTATTAATACTTGTTAGAGCTATTAATAATACTGTTTGGCGATATTATAGTGATGGCAGTTGTGTCTAATTCAAGAATATTCTTGTTATAAAAAATGAATATGTTAAGGCATAAAGAATTTTTACCTACAATTAAATTACTATCTATATTTTATTAATAATTTCATCTATTTTTGTAATAAATGTGCCTAATTTTACCCCTCATACCAATTACGATAACCTAAATAATATACTTAAACAGAAACACTGCCGACAATTACACTCACAATACTATACATACATTCCCAGAATATACCCCCAAATGTGGGCCAAAGTGACCCAATTGTCACCCTATTTAAGTCCCAATCCATACCATACAACACATGCACACAATATTTAAAATGTAAACCATTTACAACGTATTCACACAATTTGTGTGATACTTAAATTAAATGTAAAATTTAACACATTTTGTATTTTTATAACTTGTAAATTGTTCAAGTTTAATTCAATAAATTAAGTTGTTCAAATTCTGCAAATACTTTACAAATAATTTTAGTATTTTTTGTGTTTCTTATAAAACAAATAATTAAAACAAAAAATATGTTAAAATATTTATTAAATATCATTAACATTATATTAATAATTAATAAATGATATATCAATTGATTGCTGTATAAGTGAATGTGTTGTGCAGTGAAGCAAACAGAAGGGGAGCAAAAGGGGAGCAAAAGTGTGGCAAACAATATGTGAACGTAATTATTGTGTGAAAGTGAGTGAAAACGTGTGAACAGTGTTTGAGTCGTTTGTTTCATATTGTGGTCAAAATGGCTGAACACATGTCGGGAGGAATGAGCCGAAGAGCCAAACAGGAGTTACCCGAAGACTTGTCTAATGTTGAGTTCGAGACGAGTGAAGACGTGGAAGTGATCCCCAGTTTTGATTCGCTGGCACTCAGGGAAGACCTGTTGCGAGGCATCTATGCTTACGGTATGTATTGAACGCATTGTTAACGCAATTGTGAAGACATTAATTGATTGATTGAATGAATGTCTTAGGCTTTGAGAAGCCGTCGGCGATACAGCAGCGGGCGATTCGGCCCATAATAAAGGGCAGGGATGTGATAGCGCAGGCGCAGTCCGGAACGGGCAAAACGGCCACATTTGCCATCGGAATACTGCAGACAATAGACACACAAATCCGCGAAACGCAAGTACTTGTGTTGAGTCCGACCCGAGAGCTGGCCGTCCAGATCCAGAAAGTGGTGCTGGCATTGGGTGACTACATGAACGTGATGTGTCACTCCTGTATCGGTGGCACCAATTTGGGCGAAGACATCCGCAAACTAGACTTTGGACAACACGTGGTGTCCGGAACTCCCGGCCGTGTGTTTGATATGATTCGGCGCCGGAATCTGAGGACCAGATCTATAAAGATGTTGGTTATGGACGAAGCGGACGAAATGCTCAACAAAGGCTTCAAAGAGCAGATATACGATGTGTACCGATATCTGCCGCCCTATACACAGGTGTGCCTCTTGTCGGCCACACTTCCCCACGAAATCCTTGAGATGACCTCTAAGTTCATGACAGATCCCATCAGAATTCTGGTCAAGAGAGACGAGTTGACACTCGAAGGTATTAAACAGTTCTTCGTAGCGGTCGAGAGGGAAGAGTGGAAATTTGACACTCTTTGCGATCTGTACGACACCCTAACCATCACTCAAGCGGTCATTTTCTGCAATACTAAACGCAAAGTGGATTGGCTTACGGAGAAGATGAGAGAATCCAATTTCACGGTCTCTTCAATGCACGGCGATATGCCTCAGAAGGAAAGGGACACTATTATGAAGGAATTCAGATCCGGACAGAGGTTTGTAGTCATTGTAAATTATGTGTACATTTAAGCACTATTTTAATGGTTTTATTTTGTCCAATAGTCGAGTCCTCATCACAACCGATGTGTGGGCGCGAGGTATTGATGTACAACAGGTCTCACTCGTCATTAACTATGATTTACCCAACAATCGTGAGCTCTATATTCATCGGTAAGTCTTAAATACATTTAATTTTGTAATGAAAAGTGATTTTTAAAAGACTGATGAGAAACATATTTGAAGACTAACCACAAATACTGGTTATATAATTATACGCTATTCTGAACTTATAACTAAACCATAGATAAATGTGATGTGAAATATGTTTCTATTTATTAACCAATGATTTGTTTGACAGAATCGGACGGTCGGGTCGTTTTGGACGTAAAGGCGTTGCCATTAATTTTGTAAAGAATGACGACATCAGGATCTTAAGGGATATCGAGCAGTACTACAGCACACAAATCGATGAAATGCCGATGAATGTGGCGGATCTCATATAATCACAAACACTTATACATATAAATAA